CGTGAAGGTGAGGGCGAGGGACTTGAGGCCCGCGGTGACGGAGGAAGAAGGCGACGCTACCTCTCCTCTCCCACTGCGGGTGCAGATTGTTGTAGACCAGAGAGATGGGGTGCTGAGCCTGCAGAGAGGAGAGAAATGGGTGGGCATGGGATGCGAATGGAAGTGCTAAGAAGTTCAGATTGGAGAGCAACGCTCCTCTCCCACTGTGGGTGCAAGTGATTAAAATCAGATCTGAAGCGGGATCTAACAAAGGCGACGCACCGCTCCCGCTGCGGATGCAGGTTGCTGTAGATGAAGGAGATGGGGTGCTGGGCCTGCAGAGAGGGATGGGTGAGAATGGTGGAGAGAATATGAAAGGTAGATGGCTGGAGATGTGGCGGTTACTGCAATGCCACGAGCACAAACACTCACATCAAGGGCTGTTGAAGAACACACCAAAAGCCAGAATTTGATGCGCCTAGAAAATCGTCTCAGTTCACGCAGTTTTTATTGGGAGATATTTTCACAACTCTCGCAGCAAGGGCTGTTGGAAGCACACCAAAATCCAGCGCAACGGAGAGCATCACTCACGGAGAAGGAGAGGACGAGGTTGCAGAGCCGTTTGCTGGCCAGGGCGCAGCACAGCAGCCTTGAAGGGCAAAGCGTGTGAGACGACATCAAAGGAAAACAAAACTCACGGAGAAGGAGAGGACGAGGTTGCGGAGCCTCTTGCTGACCATGGCGCAGCACAGCAGCACCCACCCACTGCCATAGGTTTTCACATTCTTCCGGTGCTGCCCGGCTGCTGAAAAGTCAGGGTCCACAAATTTCACGGGCAGGTTTCTGCCCGCTGGGGGTTGCATTGTGGCGGTGAGATACCAGGGCGTCTTGCGCCTGCCCCGCATGAGAGTGGTGTCGGGGTGCGAGGAGCCGGGCGGCAGCAGCAGGCAGCGGACACCCGGTGCCAGAGAGACGCCGGTAGCATGTCCATGGGATCACGGGGGTGGCGGCTGGTAGGAGGAGAGACGGGTGAAAAGGGTGAGGTGGAAAATGGGTAGGTGATGTGTTGGAAAGGGGATTGATGGAGGGAGTGAAGAGGGAATGTGAGACGCCGGTAGCAGGTCGATGGGATCACGGAGGGTGGTGGCTGGAAGGAGAGAGCGGCGAGATGGGTGAGGATTGGTGAAAAAAGGAATTGATAGGAATTGTGAAACGGGAAAAAGTTAGACGCTGGCAGCACGTCTATTAGATCAGGGGGCGATGGCTACTGGAAGGAGAGATGGGTGATACGGTTGAAATGGGTGTGATGGGTGATACGGTTGAAATGGGTGTGATGGGTGATACGGTTGAAATCAAGGATGAAAAATACGGAAATCGTATTAAACGGTTCGTTTAATACGATGGTATTTTACGGCCATTTGTGGAAAAATACGGCGTATTTTTGAAAGGGTTTTTTTTCCCGGTTTGTTTTTATTTTTCCCCTTGGAATGATATCTTCCAACTTCTGGAGGGTGCACAAAACCTTACAAAACAACATGGAACAGCTACCACGACTACTACACAACATCCCCTCCCCTCTAGTACTACTCCCCTCCCCCCCCCTCTACTCTACTCTACTACTACTCATACTAGGTAGGACCTACCTGGTGGTCGCTACTACTACTACTCTATGCCTCGCCCGCCTACGTCTCTTCCCCCTACATCACCCCTCCTCTACTCATCATCCCCCTCCTCCTCCTCGTCATTCCTCCTCCTCCTCCTCCTCCTCCTCCTCCTCCTCTCCTCCTCCTCCTCCTCCTCCTCCTCCTCCTCCTCCTCCTCCTCCTCCTCCTCCTCCCCCTCTTCCTCCCCGCTCGAGCCATCACTAATGTCCCACGGATTCTCGCCCGAGCGAGTCTTGGTGGTGGGCACATGCTCCTCCTCCTCATCGCCACTGCTGTCCGCCGCCTCCTCCTCCTCATCGCCACTGCTGTCCGCCGCCTCCTCCTCCTCATCGCCACTGCTGTCCGCCGCCTCCTCCTCCTCATCGCCACTGCTGTCCGCCGCCTCCTCCTCCTCATCGCCACTGCTGTCCGCCGCCTCCTCCTCCTCATCGCCACTGCTGTCCGCCGCCTCCTCCTCCTCATCGCCACTGCTGTCCGCCGCCTCCTCCTCCTCATCGCCACTGCTGTCCGCCGCCTCCTCCTCCTCATCGCCACTGCTGTCCGCCGCCTCCTCCTCCTCATCGCCACTGCTGTCCGCCGCCTCCTCCTCTCATCGCCACTGCTGTCCGCCGCCTCCTCCTCCCTCATCGCCACTGCTGTCCTCCGCCTCCCGCCTCATCGCCTGCTGTCGCCTCCTCTCCTCATCGCCACTGCTGTCCGCCGCCTCCTCCTCCTCATCGCCACTGCTGTCCGCCGCCTCCTCCTCCTCATCGCCACTGCTGTCCGCCGCCTCCTCCTCCTCATCGCCACTGCTGTCCGCCGCCTCCTCCTCCTCATCGCCACTGCTGTCCGCCGCCTCCTCCTCCTCATCGCCACTGCTGTCCGCCGCCTCCTCCTCCTCATCGCCACTGCTGTCCGCCGCCTCCTCCTCCTCATCGCCACTGCTGTCCGCCGCCTCCCTCCTCCTCATCGCCACTGCTGTCCGCCGCCTCCTCCTCCTCATCGCCACTGCTGTCCGCCGCCTCCTCCTCCTCATCGCCACTGCTGTCCGCCGCCTCCTCCTCCTCATCGCCACTGCTGTCCGCCGCCTCCTCCTCCTCATCGCCACTGCTGTCCGCCGCCTCCTCCTCCTCATCGCCACTGCTGTCCGCCGCCTCCTCCTCCTCATCGCCACTGCTGTCCGCCGCCTCCTCCGCCTCATCGCCACTGCTGTCCGCCGCCTCCTCCTCCTCATCGCCACTGCTGTCCGCCGCCTCCTCCGCCTCATCCGCCACTGCTGTCCGCCGCCTCCTCCCCTCCTCCTCGCCACTGCTGTCCCGCCGCCTCCTCCTCCCTCCTCCTCGCCACTGCTGTCCGCCGCCCTCCTCCTCCTCCTCCTCCTCCATCGCCACTGCTGTCCGCCGCCTCCTCCTCCTCATCGCCACTGCTGTCCGCCGCCTCCTCCTCCTCATCGCCACTGCTGTCCGCCGCCTCCTCCTCCTCCTCATCGCCACTGCTGTCCGCCGCCTCCTCCTCCCTCATCGCCACTGCTGTCCGCCGCCTCCTCCTCCTCATCGCCACTGCTGTCTGTTGTGCAAACCCTACGGTTTGCACTCGCTTGTTGTCCCGTGTGCGTGAATGTGTGTGTGTATGGAATGGTATGAGGGCATGGGATAATATATATTTCATGCTTATAATTGTGTGTGAATGTTGAGTCATGATGTCGAGTGTGTGTGTCGAGCAATAGCGAGTTATCGCTTAGACGCGTGTTACGCGGTCGTTTGTGTCTCGCGCGCGGTTTCTATTTTGTCGTGCGCGGTTCTATTTTGTCCTGTGTCGAACGTTCGGCGTGTCGCAGGTGTGTGCAGCAGACCCATCAAGAACTCAAGGATGAGTTTGTGATGAAGAGCCCGAGCCTTGGTGTCAAGCCTCAAGTGATTTCGAAGCTTGCCAAAAGGGTACACCTCAAGACATTGAAGATAGTTACATTACTTTGTGTAGTGTAACATTTCACTTGATGTAGGCCCTAGTGAAGGGTAGTTTCGAGACCCTTCGTGGTTGGGGACAGTGTGGCACTGTTCCACATCACTGTACCTCGGCTCTTGGGGTTTGTAGGAGCTGGGAGTCATTCCCAACTCGTAACTCTTCCTATCTTGTGTTCTAAGACTATAGTGGCTGCCATAGTACCGTTCGTTCAAACTGACGCTGTGTCGTCAATTCTTTATCAAATCGTGCAATCTAAATTGCTAGTTGTAGACGACGTGAAGACGCTCCAGATCCAATTTGAATCAAGTCATTTGCAGCTGTGAGCAGAACGCAATCAGCGTTTGAAGCCGCTGTGCAGAAATCCGTCTATGCTCTCTATCTTTCGTTTTAGGCACATTCAAGCCTATTGTGACTATAACAAGTGGTATCAGAGCCCCTTGGAGCAGTTTCGACAATGTCTGGACCTGAGGAAAGGGGTGGCAGAGGTGCTGGTGGCAGTGGAGAAGCTCAAGCTCAAGGCCAACCCCGTGATTCAGCCATGGCGCCCATGCAACCAAGTCTTGGCCCACCTAGGGATGAGCCTAGGGTGTTTGGGCTTGACAAGTTCAACGGTGACAACTTTGCTGAATGGTCCTTCAAGATGGAGAACATCTTTGACCACTATGACCTGCTGGAGGTGATGGAAGGAACGGAGAAGCGCCCCGAGAACGAACCGGAGAAGAGCCCGTGGGTGCGGAAGAGCGCACAAGGCTATCTCTTACTTGGGCAAGCGTTGGGGAGCAGTCAGATCCGTCACATCAAGCCATTCCAGCGTGAACCAGAGAAAGGACCAAAGGCATGGGCTGCTCTCAAGGGTGTACATGCTCCTGCAACAGCGGCGGTAGCGGTGGTGTTGGAACGGCAAATGGCGGCACTACGAATTGAAGAAGACGAAGCGGTTGAAGAAGGGGTGCAGAAATTCTTCGACTTGTTGACGCGGCTTGAGGGAGCTGATTTGAACTACAGTGAGCTCCAAAAGAAGACCAAGTTGCTGGCCTTACTCCCAGAGTCATGGTCCTCGCTCATCATCAACCTTAATCGCGACTTGCCCCGCCTCTCGCTTGAAGACGTGAAGCGAGCTATCCTTCAAGAGGATTTCCGCCGCCGTGAGTTGGCGAGTGCGGATGGCGCTGGGGGCAGCGAGCATCGGCCGTGGATATGGTCGAGGAAGAGGCAGAGGACGAGGGGGAGGAAGGTTTGGTGGCAGCAACTTCGGCGGAGGCCGCAGGAGTGGCGGTTACGGCAGCGACGACAAGAGCTACGGACGCGGTCGCGGCCGATTCGACGGCGAGTGTCACTATTGCCACAAGAGCGGACACATGTGGCGCGACTGCTACAAAACTCCCTGATGGTTGGACCCCTGCTCAAGGCCAAGAGAGTAGAGGAGCAGGAGGAGGGAGAGGACGAGGCCGTGGAGGCCGTGGCGGTCGCGGTGGCGGAGCTGCAAACATGAAGAGCGGAGACAACGACAAGGACCCGAGCGACGATCGATACCCGGGTCTATTCTACTTCGTGTCGACGCAAGTACCGGCTGGTCCAGAGAAGGATGAAGGCTTTGAGGAGCCAGCAGCTGTGGGGAAGGTGACCCTACACCCCCTGGACTATTGGGTGATTGATAGTGGCGCTACCTATAGCATGACACCTTGCCCGGACTTGCTCACCGAACTCGAGCCGTCACCGGTGAAGCATGTCACATCGGCTTTGGGGCAGCGAGCAGAGGTGAAAGGCATGGGCAAGGCCATGTTCAAGGGTGCTGATGGGAAGATGGTGGGCCTCAAGAACGTGCTTTGGGTGCCCAGCCTTGCTGCAAACCTGATTTCCGTGCGGCGGTTGGCAAAGGCCGGCATGGACACGAACTCGAAGGGAGCCAAGACCTACACCGCAAGGCTTGGCGATCGAATTCTTTGGGACCTTCATGAGGACAGGGATGTCTACAACGAGATGTGGCAGATCCCAGTGGTCCCTATGCCTAAGGAGAGGCAAGTGGCAGCAAGCATCAGCACCAAGGATGGAGCGGTCGGTAGCGACGATGGCGCGAACGGTCGCGCTAAGGAGAATGAGCTCAAGAAGAGCAAACCTGGAGGGACCAGCAAGTTCAGTGAACCTAAGGAGAGTGGTGCAGCAACCAAGGAGCAGCAAAAGGGTGAGGAGAACCCAGAGGCAGCAGCGGAGGAGGACTACGGAGAGAGTATGTGGGGCGCTATTGCGAGCGCGGCATTCTCCAATCCAACTTCGGCTACGGGGGAGTGTGATTGGCTCACCTTGCAATCGGCGCATGGGGCATGTGGCCCTGCCCATCTTGCAGCAGCTAGTGAAGAATGAGATGGTTGCTGGCATACGTGTGAAGGGGGAGCCCGATGAGGTGCTTGGCTGCCCGACGTGCATTCAAGCCAAGTTCACCCGGTTTCCGTTCCCTAGTTCGGAGGCAACGGCAAAGGCACCGCTTGATGAGGTGGTGATGGACGTGGTGGGCCCCCTGAAGCTTGGAGCTGCTGGAGCTGAGTATTTTCTCACCATTGTCGACGTCTACACCCGCATGACTTGGGTGTACGTGCTGGCCAAGAAGAGCGACGTGGCTGAAACGTTGAAGACGGATTGGTTCCCGATGGTGGAGCGGCAACAAGACCGTCTAGTCAAGTCAATCCGCACCGATCGAGGGGGAGAGTTCCTGAGCAAGGAGTTTGGGTTGTGGCTGAAGAAGAATGGTATTCGGCACTCCCTCACCATGCCATACTCCCCTGCAATGAACGGCATCGCCGAGCGAGCGAACCGCACAATCACGGAGGCGGCACGCGGGTTGCTCATTGAAGCCGGGCTACCCGACTATTTCTGGCCTGATGCGGTGCGGAGCGCGTGTGTGGCCATGAACAGAGCCTTGACTCATGTGGGAGCAGACAAATGGGTGCCCTATGTGGAGTGGCTAGGAAGGAAGCCAAAGGTGGATATGCTTCGGGTGTTCGGGTGCATGTGCATGGCGCTCGTGCCTAAGCATCTTCGGCACAACAAGCTTGGTGCCAAGGCGGTGTGGGCCGTGCACTTGGGCATGACTCAAAACAGCAAGGGATGGCTTCTTTGGGACCCATTCACCAAGAAGTTCTTGGTGAGCAGGGACTGCAAGTTCATGGAGAACTTCATGTACAAGGATTGGAAGGCGGAGAATGAGGCGAAGATAGGCGTGCGGTTTGGGGAGGTGAAGAGTTCCGGTTTGGAGCATGTGGAGCTGCCTTTGGAGCTGAGCAGCGGCAGCACAACCACAAGGCAATCCTCCCTTGTGAATGGGGGAGAGGAGGCCAATGATGCAGAGGAAGAAGAGGAGGAGGTGCAGCAAGTGAGCGAGCGTGCACCGTCACTCCCTTCCCGTACTACGAGTGCTCCACGGATTCGAGCCACACCGCAGCAACGCCAAGGCCTTCAAGTCCCTGCAGCTGAGGAGGAAGGAAGGGGGAAGAGGAGAGTTCAACCCCCTAATAGGCTGACCTATGATGCGCCGGGAAAGCAGGGCAAGACAGCCCTGGCCGGAGCGGCAATGATGGTCGGAGACGACGAGGAGAGTGACTACGAGGAGTGTGCCTTCGCGTTCTTCTCTCCGGTGGAGATGCCGGGAGAACCAGCAACTCTCAAGGAGGCTTTGGAGAGTAGTGATGCTGAGGAGTGGAAGAAGGCCATGGAGAGTGAGCTGAAGAGCATCGAGGAGAATGACACGTTTGAATTGGTGGAGCTACCGGAGGGGCGTACGGCGATAACGTCCAAGTGGCTCTTCAAAATCAAGTCGGATGCCGACGGCAAGATCGAGCGCTACAAGTCTAGGCTTGTAGCCAAGGGGTACCAGCAGAAGGAGAAGGTGGACTTCAAGGAGCTGTTTGCCCCTGTGGTGAAGCCGACGACGCTGCGAACCCTATTCGCGGGAGCCGCCATCAAAGGATGGGTAGTAAAGCAAATGGACATTGTAACGGCATTCCTTAACGGCATCCTTGAGGAGGAGATTTTTATGGCGCAGCCAGAGGGGTTTGATGATGGTAGTGGCAGAGTGTGGAAGCTGAAGAAGGCCCTCTATGGGCTGAAGCAGGCCCCTAGGCAATGGTACATGAAGCTGCGCGAAGTGTTGGAGGGGATCGGCTTCACTCCCTCAACGGCCGATCACTCCTTGTTCATGCTTGGCGAGGGGGAGCAGAGGAGTTTCATGGTGGTTTATGTGGATGACATCCTCATTTTCTCACCCTCTTCTGACCTTGTGAAGGAGGTGATGCTGAAGCTTCAAGACAAGTTCAAGTGCAAGGCCCTTGGTGACGTGAGCTTCTACCTTGGGCTCCACATCGAACGAGATGTGGAGAAGCGGTGCATGCGGGTGCATCAACGAAAGTACCTGGAGGCATTGGCTGCCAACTTTGGGCAGAGTGAAGGCCATGTGGCTACACCCTTTCCCTCTGGGTTCAAGTGTGTGAAGGGACCAGAGGAGGAGAGCGTTGGTGAAGAGGAGAGGCGCCGATTTCACTCGTTGGTGGGCAGCCTCATGTATGCGGCGGTAAACACCCGACCGGACGTCGCGTTTGCTACCGGGCAGCTGGCTAGGGTTGTGCAATGCCCTAATGAGGAGCAGGTAGCAGCTGGAATGAGGGTGGCCAAGTATCTTGGCCAAACACCGACCGTTGGGCTGCAATACTCGGCGGCGGCACAAAGGCGCCAAAAGGGCGCGGATGGTGTTGAACCCGGGCGTTTGTTCCTCACCGCCTACTCGGATGCTTCATATGCATCAGAACCAGAGGACATGACAAGTGTGGGAGGCTTCATATGCTGTGTTGGTGGAGGCCCAACTGCTTGGGAGAGCAAGAAGCAGGTTGACCAAGCTTTGAGCTCGGTGGAGTCCGAGTACATGGCACTCTTCCGTGCCGTACGGGAGATTGTGTGGCAGCGGCGTTTGTTGGCTGAATTGGGGGAGGAGCAGCAAGGACCTACCCCACTGTACTGTGACAGCCAGGGTGCCATTGCTCTTGCTAAGAACCCTATGTTGCATGGACTCACGAAGCACATGAGGGTGAAGTGGCATTGGACGAGGAGCATGGTAACCGCGGGTGAAGTTGAGTTGCGCTACGTGAAGACCACGGGGCAGCCGGCTGACATGATGACCAAGAGGCTGGTGGAGCAGCAGCATTGGAAGTGTTGCAAGCTGGCTGGGATGGCTCTGAACTGAGAGAGCAACATATCCTAAGGCCAACAATCCGAGGGGGAGTTTGTTGGTGCAACCCTACGGTTTGCACTCGGCTTGTTGTCCGTGTGCGTGAATGTGTGTGTGTATGGAATGGTATGAGGGCATGGGATAATATATATTTCATGCTTATAATTGTGTGTGAATGTTGAGTCATGATGTCGAGTGTGTGTGTCGAGTCAATAGCGAGTTATCGCTAGACGCGTGTTACGCGGTCGTTTGTGTCTCGCGCGCGGTTTCTATTTTGTCGTGCGCGGTTTCTATTTTGTCCTGTGTCGAACGTTCGGCGTGTCGCAGGTGTGTGCAGCAGACCCATCAAGAACTCAAGGATGAGTTTGTGATGAAGAGCCCGAGCCTTGGTGTCAAGCCTCAAGTGATTTCGAAGCTTGCCAAAAGGGTACACCTCAAGATATTGAAGATAGTTACATTACTTTGTGTAGTGTAACATTTCACTTGGTGTAGGCCCTAGTGAAGGTTAGTTTCGAGACCCTTCGTGGTTGGGGACAGTGTGGCGCTATTCCACATCACTGTACCTCGGCTCTTGGGGTTTGTAGGAGCTGGGAGTCATTCCCAACTCGTAACTCTTCCTATCTTGTGTTCTAAGACTATAGTGGCTGCCATAGTACCGTTCGTTCAAACTGACGCTGTGTCGTCAATTCTTTATCAAATCGTGCAATCTAAATTGCTAATTGTAGACGACGTGAAGACGCTCCAGATCCAATTTGAATCAAGTCATTTGCAGCTGTGAGCAGAACGCTATCAACGTTTGAAGCCGCTGTGCAGAAATCCGTCTGTGCTCTCTATCTTTCGTTTTAGGCACATTCAAGCCTATTGTGACTATAACACTGTCCGCCGCCTCCTCCTCCTCATCGCCACTGCTGTCCGCCGCCTCCTCCTCCTCATCGCCACTGCTGTCTGCCGCCTCCTCCTCCTCATCGCCACTGCTGTCCGCCGCCTCCTCCTCCTCATCGCCACTGCTGTCCGCCGCCTCCTCCTCCTCCTCATCGCCACTGCTGTCCGCCGCCTCCTCCTCCTCATCGCCACTGCTGTCCGCCGCCTCCTCCTCCTCATCGCCACTGCTGTCCGCCGCCTCCTCCTCCTCCTCCTCGCCACTGCTGTCCGCCGCCTCCTCCTCCTCATCGCCACTGCTGTCCGCCGCCTCCTCCTCCTCCTCATCGCCACTGCTGTCCGCCGCCTCCTCCTCCTCATCGCCACTGCTGTCCGCCGCCTCCTCCTCCTCATCGCCACTGCTGTCCGCCGCCTCCTCCTCCTCATCGCCACTGCTGTCCGCCGCCTCCTCCTCCTCATCGCCACTGCTGTCCGCCGCCTCCTCCTCCTCATCGCCACTGCTGTCCGCCGCCTCCTCCTCCTCATCCTCACGCGCTGCCGCGGCTTTCTTCTTACCTTTGCTAGGCTTGGTCGCCTTGCCCTTCCTCTTCCTGTTGGAGCTCTCACGCTCCTTTTTCTTCTTCTTGCCAATCTGCCCGAAGAGGTCCCAGTCAATGGTGCATGCCACATTCACCTCTCCCTCCTCCTCAGCCCCCTCTTCCTCCACCACTTCCTCTGCCGGGGCGACGACACTCCCTTCCTTGAGGGTGCCGTTGCTCAGATCGGCGTAGAGCTTCTCCCTCACCTTCTGCTTCCTGTCAAAGGTGTCCCGAGCCCTCCTCATGAACGCGACATAGGTCACGTCCGTCATCTTCTTGGCGGAGATGCGGTTACGGTCACGCCGTTGCACACGAGCAATCGCGGACCAGTAACGCTCCACCTCGGATGACGTTACCGGCTGTGACAGGTTCATCACTGCCAGCGACTGCAGCGCCTTCACCTCCCCGCCATACATCCACCACCATTCGGCATCCGTTTGGCGCCCACCCGCCACCAAGACCTTTGCAGCCCACCGTGCATCGGGGGACCCCAACAGCCCCTCGCCCTTGTGGATGACCGCCTCCGCCCCACTCCTCACCTCCTCATCCTCCCGCACTTCCCCCACGTACTGATTGCGGGGGTTGAGGAGCCACCCGAGAGCGTGTAGTGGGTTATGCAGCTGCTTGTCCCACCTCTTGACTAGGATAGCCTTGACTTCCGCCAGGAATGCGGGCTTGTCCTTTGCCAACAGCAGTTCCGTGCGCTTGACAAACATGGCGGCTGTCAATGGGAAGTACAAACACGATGAAGGGCGGTAAGCATGGGCAGGAACGGGGTGTGCATGCAATCACGACTCCCAAAGGCGTACATGCATGCAAAGGTATGTCTTACCTCCAGCCTGGGCCGCCACGTTGGTCTTCACCGTGGCCTCTAGCATGAGGCCATACACTTGCCCCATAACTAGAGCTCGCGTGTCGACGACCCGAAGGACATCATACACGGGCTGCATGATGCGGAGGACTGCCGTGGCTGACACTGACCGACGAGTGCAGCCTGTAGGGTTTCTCAAAAGTGATCACCTCATAGCAAGCGATGCGAGAGATGAGCAGGAGAGAGGTTCCGAAACTCAAAACTCACCCTCACTGAATAAATTGTCCACCTAAGGCGGCCTCATTCTTAATAGACCATAACGGGATCTTGTGCCTGTTCTTTCATTGTGACCTTCTGTCTTTGAACATCCGATGAGTCGACCTGGCCGAATCCAATCCTTTGGTTCTCACGGAGCTGGAAGAGAGCGTGGCTGCTCCCAAACTCACATAGTCTTGTGCTGCTCAGAAATATCACCAGGTGAGCGTGATGCCGCAGACTGTCCATCCAATCCTTCCATTTCCTCGCACATCCTCGCCTAGTCCTCACCCACTCCCCGCTGCCTTATTTTTTCCCCTCATTCTGACTGTTTTCCTCTTCCCACCCACCAGAGCGCAGACGTGGTTGATCTTCTGCCCGTCACAATCTGGCACATCATCTTCCGCCACCTGCTGCGGCCCGCTCTGGACGCATTTCAGCGGGAAGCCGGCAGCGCTTTCTCTGCCGCCTCCACTCAGCATTTTGCTTGGAAGAAGCATGAGGAGAACGCAAGGCGCTTCGGCTCCTGCTGGCCTCTGCTGCGCTACGCCATGGTCTGCATGAGGCTGCTCCACCATGTCACTTCCTTCTCCGTGAGTGCTGCACTGCGCTGGTTCCTAACAACCTTCGCGTCCCCCACCATGTCATCTCCGACTTCGTGACTCATTATGCGCTGATTTTTCGCTCACGCGTAGAGCCTCCTGCGAAACCTAGTTAACCGCATGGAAGTCACGTTTCGGATGCTGAGCTGTTGCTTAAATAGTCCTCTGTCATCATTACTGAAACAGCTTCCAGAGTCACGTTTCTTCTCTGTGTGTGCAGGAACTGGAGCCCATCTCCCTTGTATATGACAGTCAGGAGATCCAATGGACACAAGCTCTTTCATGGTTCCTCATATTTACAGCTCACAAGTCCCTCGATCTCACTTTCAGCAGCTCCAGGGATCTGCAGCGCCTCCGCCACCTTCTGGCATCGTCTGCGCATTCCCTCACGAGCCTGAGCCTTGGGTTCAGGGGTTCGTCTTACGAGGAGGTACGTATCGCACAAAGGGTTAGCAACCCGGCGTTTCTCAGGAGTTTTGAACGGTTTGCATTGCATCAGCTGACGCTCGGTTGGGGAGGTGGAAGCTGGGCAACCTGGAGGCTGCATGGTTCAAGGCGCTGAGGAGTCTGAGGCTCAGACTCTGAGCATTACCTACTTGAAGTGCGATGAATAAATCTTAGATTTCTGTCGGCAATCACACCACAGCTGCATGAGTTCTCTCTTTCCTCCAAAAACAGTTACCCGTGCTACCTAACAGACAAGAGTTTCGAATTTGCTGCTGCACGAGACATCACATTCAGTTTCGAAAACCAGAGGCTCAACCTCCGCCTCTCCCTCCCTCCCTGCTTGAGAAAATTCTCCCTCTCAGCCGAGGAACTGGAGATTGAGTGTGACTGCTCTTGCGCTCTCTCTCTCTCTCGACTCGTGAGCTAGAGAGTAAGAGAGTCGAGAGAGAGAGGGCTAGAGCAGTCACACTCAATCTCCAGTTCCTCGGCTGAGAGGGAGAAATTCCTCAAGCAGGGAGGGAGAGAGAGGCGGAGGTTTGGCCTCTAGTTTTCAAAACTGAATGTGATGTCTCGCGCAGCAGCAAATTCTAAACTCTTGTCTGTCAAGTGGCACGGGTGACAATACTTGTGATCTTTTCGCTCTCTCTGTCTTCTGCCAAAGATGCCCATGTGAACGGACCGTTCGCCTTCCCACCGTAGGCCATCTCTCCACATACGTTGATTGCCACTCGGCGTTTCGTGACGCAGCTACGGAGCAGCATAGCGCCACCAGTGGAGATGCTCACAGTGAGGCATGGCTTGCCGCTAGAGGAGGAGCCTGCTGCTGAATTGAGTCGCCTGCGCTTCGTTGCCATTGTTGTGAACGACAGGAGGGAAAGTGGAGGTGGTGAGAAGAGCAGCAGCAGCAGCAGCAGCAAGGATGAAGGAATAAGCCCTTCCTTCATCAATGCTCCAAATCTGCAGTCTATTTTCGTTGCGACTCGGCAATGGCGCCTTGACACTCTGGTTTCTTGTGCTCTATTGCATTGTTGGGCGGTCGTTTTGGTGGGAGCGTGAAGGGGTGGGGGAGGGGGAGGAGGAGGGGGAGCAGCTGAGTTATGAGCCGGTGATGCAAGAGAGGCTAGAGCAAGATTTCACCGTGAGCCCAGACATGGCCTGGGATGACCGGATCATGCGAATCCTTCAAACCCTCTGAGCTTCTTCATATGTTGGGAGATTCGGTAAGATTAGTGAATCGAACCAAGTTACACAGGTGGGAGAGGGAGGTGGTGCAGGGAAGGGTAGGTAAGGCTGCTAGGTGGTGCCATACACAGGTGGGAGAGGGAGGTGGTGCAGGGAAGGGTAGGTAAGGCTGCTAGGTGGTGCCATACACAGGTGGGAGAGGGAGGTGGTGCAGGGAAGGGTAGGTAAGGCTGCTAGGTGGTGCCATACACAGGTGGGAGAGGGAGGTGGTGCAGGGAAGGGTAGGTAAGGCTGCTAGGTGGTGCCATACACAGGTGGGAGAGGGAGGTGGTGCAGGGAAGGGTAGGTAAGGCTGCTAGGTGGTGCCATACACAGGTGGGAGAGGGAGGTGGTGCAGGGAAGGGTAGGTAAGGCTGCTAGGTGGTGCCAGTAGCGGTGGCCATGGGGTGGTGTGTACCCGAGTGGTGGCATAGGTGGTGATGGGGATGGTGATGGGTGCTGGCAGTGGGGATGGCGATGGTGGGCATCGTATGTGGTGCATGTACAGCTAGACAACTAATGATCATGCTGCTGACGGAGCTACTACCTGTGGGTGTCATGATTGGCTTGCCTACTACCTGCTTCTGCCTGCTGTTTGACGGCTGTTGACTGCTGTTGACTGCTGTTGACTGCTGTTGACTCCTGCTTCCTGCCTGCTTCCTGCTGTCAGAGCACAGGGCCGGCGCTCGACAGCTTAGCACAGTAAAGCAGATGATTTTCCTGATGGCTGGTTGTTATCTATTCATGTTTTGTTTGTTTCTCTTTCCACTTTTGTCCCTCCCACTTGTTCCGCATCAAGATTGCTTTCCTGCTCAGACGCTCTCGTCCGCGCATTCAGTTCTTCCTGCACCCAGCTATGCTTAGAGGCCACTTCACCTACCCATGCATTCACTCCTCCATAGAAAGAAAAGAGAGTTCGGATGGGGTTTGCCGCACTTCTGGATTGATGTTGACTTTTCAAAAGTTCCTCGAGTAAGCTTGCATGTATTTCTTTGTAAGTGAAGGAACTGATTGAGTCCAGATGGGGTTGTAGTGCACATGTGTCTTGGCTGCCCCTCCTCTCCCCCCTCCCCCCTTCCCTCCCTCCCCCTCCGTCCCCCCTTGTTTTTCTTTGTGTGTGTTCTTTACAGACCCTAAAAATAGAAACATCGTGTTGGGGACATGTTTTTGCGATTTTTCCTCCCAGCGTCTACAGTCCTCCTCACAGCCCTCTCCTCACCTCCCCCTTCCCTTCCAACTCCTACCTTTCGATAGTTACCATCCCCTCCACTGCACCCCGCTGCGTCTCTTCATGCTACCAAGCCATCTTCCTAAACCACCCCTCCCCTTTCCCCCCCTCCCAACCCACCTCTACCAGGCAGATCCGTTACATAAGAGGCTCTCAGTCCGAACCATCCTGGAAGGTTCTCCTTTTGTGTGGGTGAGCAGCAGAAAGAGGATGGGAAGGCATGGGTGGAAGAGCGAGGGGTTCGTGATGGTGCGTGGCAGCACACGAAGGAAGCACAAAGGAAGCAGCCAATGGGATGTGGACAGACAAGGCTGGGTGGCAGGAAGCTTCCAGTGGAGCTTTAAGTTGGCGCATGTTATTGAGGGTTGGAGGGATCTGTTACCAGTATGAAGAGCTGATAGTTCCGCTGCTGCTCCTAGTTGCGTGCTGGTGCTGCAGCTGTGGAAGCTTACAATCGAGCAGGAAATACGCACGACCGTCACAAGTAGTGCACGCACAGGCATAATCAATACAATAACGGCAGAGGGGGCAGAAGGATTTACATGACCTACCCTCCCTGGTCAAACTCTTTACATAAGGATTTTTAAATTTTGTGAAGCTAGGGCTAGGAGCTTATTATATCACAATACTTTTGTAAAAAATTACCCTTCTCCCTGTCGCAATAGTTTTTGTCCGAATGGCATTTCACACCAATGAATTATGGCTGTAAGAGCAGTACATCCTCCATAGACTCCCACTGTACCTCAAACGGGTATAGCGAAGGTCTTTCGAATTCATCGAGGTGTGTGAGTGAAGCGTAGCAAACTCGGCAGACTCGAGAGTCCAGCGATGCGATGAACGCGATTCACGGATTCATGTCGACGAGTGGTATTGCTTCTAGCGGCGCGACCACGGGTTGTATGATGCGTGAGGTGCTTGTCGATGTCACTTAGGATCTATTCCTAGGAGTTTCGAAACTGTTCAGGAATGAGCGTGAGGTGCTTGTCCAATGAGACCGTTGCAGTTGCCACTTGTCAGCCTCTTGAAGCCTGGAACCCAATCGCCAGCTGTCGGAGCCAAAGCAGCAGCTGGATTATCGCCGTTCATTGTTACGATGCGTTCAGATTTGACAGGAACGACAATTCGCATCCGTCGCTCCAATAAAAGAAGCTCGCTCAAAAGCACCCCGCGGAAAACCCCGCGGAACACCCCGCAGGTCTACCCGCGCCGTACTTACGCTTTGTCCACTCCCCCCGCCGGTCCGCGGCCTCATTGTGCTTCGCGGACTCGGTCAGCCCGTCGCGCCGCTGTTTGCTGGCACCGCCATGGCGATGACAGGCGTCGTCGTACCCGAGC